ATTCAAACAAAATGCAATGCGTTTTGTAATAGAAAAAGAATTTTCGGAAGGATTGTGTGTCGCCCTAGTATTTTCGCGAAGTGCTTCGGATGCAGGATAGAAGGAGGCAAAAATCGAAGCTTGCGTCGGCCGGGAGTCGAACCCGGGTCAACTGCTTGGAAGGCAGCTATGCTAACCGTTATACCACCGACGCTTCGGGAGAAACGAAACAAGCGTCCTATTCAAACAAAATGCAATGCGTTTTGTAATAGAAAAAGAATTTTCGGAAGGATTGTGTGTCGCCCTAGTATTTTCGCGAAGTGCTTCGGATGCAGGATAGAAGGAGGCAAAAATCGAAGCTTGCGTCGGCCGGGAGTCGAACCCGGGTCAACTGCTTGGAAGGCAGCTATGCTAACCGTTATACCACCGACGCTTCGGGAGAAACGAAACAAGCGTCCTATTCAAACAAAATGCAATGCGTTTTGTAATAGAAAAAGAATTTTCGGAAGGATTGTGTGTCGCCCTAGTATTTTCGCGAAGTGCTTCGGATGCAGGATAGAAGGAGGCAAAAATCGAAGCTTGCGTCGGCCGGGAGTCGAACCCGGGTCAACTGCTTGGAAGGCAGCTATGCTAACCGTTATACCACCGACGCTTCGGGAGAAACGAAACAAGCGTCCTATTCAAACAAAATGCAATGCGTTTTGTAATAGAAAAAGAATTTTCGGAAGGATTGTGTGTCGCCCTAGTATTTTCGCGAAGTGCTTCGGATGCAGGATAGAAGGAGGCAAAAATCGAAGCTTGCGTCGGCCGGGAGTCGAACCCGGGTCAACTGCTTGGAAGGCAGCTATGCTAACCGTTATACCACCGACGCTTCGGGAGAAACGAAACAAGCGTCCTATTCAAACAAAATGCAATGCGTTTTGTAATAGAAAAAGAATTTTCGGAAGGATTGTGTGTCGCCCTAGTATTTTCGCGAAGTGCTTCGGATGCAGGATAGAAGGAGGCAAAAATCGAAGCTTGCGTCGGCCGGGAGTCGAACCCGGGTCAACTGCTTGGAAGGCAGCTATGCTAACCGTTATACCACCGACGCTTCGGGAGAAACGAAACAAGCGTCCTATTCAAACAAAATGCAATGCGTTTTGTAATAGAAAAAGAATTTTCGGAAGGATTGTGTGTCGCCCTAGTATTTTCGCGAAGTGCTTCGGATGCAGGATAGAAGGAGGCAAAAATCGAAGCTTGCGTCGGCCGGGAGTCGAACCCGGGTCAACTGCTTGGAAGGCAGCTATGCTAACCGTTATACCACCGACGCTTCGGGAGAAACGAAACAAGCGTCCTATTCAAACAAAATGCAATGCGTTTTGTAATAGAAAAAGAATTTTCGGAAGGATTGTGTGTCGCCCTAGTATTTTCGCGAAGTGCTTCGGATGCAGGATAGAAGGAGGCAAAAATCGAAGCTTGCGTCGGCCGGGAGTCGAACCCGGGTCAACTGCTTGGAAGGCAGCTATGCTAACCGTTATACCACCGACGCTTCGGGAGAAACGAAACAAGCGTCCTATTCAAACAAAATGCAATGCGTTTTGTAATAGAAAAAGAATTTTCGGAAGGATTGTGTGTCGCCCTAGTATTTTCGCGAAGTGCTTCGGATGCAGGATAGAAGGAGGCAAAAATCGAAGCTTGCGTCGGCCGGGAGTCGAACCCGGGTCAACTGCTTGGAAGGCAGCTATGCTAACCGTTATACCACCGACGCTTCGGGAGAAACGAAACAAGCGTCCTATTCAAACAAAATGCAATGCGTTTTGTAATAGAAAAAGAATTTTCGGAAGGATTGTGTGTCGCCCTAGTATTTTCGCGAAGTGCTTCGGATGCAGGATAGAAGGAGGCAAAAATCGAAGCTTGCGTCGGCCGGGAGTCGAACCCGGGTCAACTGCTTGGAAGGCAGCTATGCTAACCGTTATACCACCGACGCTTCGGGAGAAACGAAACAAGCGTCCTATTCAAACAAAATGCAATGCGTTTTGTAATAGAAAAAGAATTTTCGGAAGGATTGTGTGTCGCCCTAGTATTTTCGCGAAGTGCTTCGGATGCAGGATAGAAGGAGGCAAAAATCGAAGCTTGCGTCGGCCGGGAGTCGAACCCGGGTCAACTGCTTGGAAGGCAGCTATGCTAACCGTTATACCACCGACGCTTCGGGAGAAACGAAACAAGCGTCCTATTCAAACAAAATGCAATGCGTTTTGTAATAGAAAAAGAATTTTCGGAAGGATTGTGTGTCGCCCTAGTATTTTCGCGAAGTGCTTCGGATGCAGGATAGAAGGAGGCAAAAATCGAAGCTTGCGTCGGCCGGGAGTCGAACCGGGTCAACTGCTTGGAAGGCAGCTATGCTAACCGTTATACCACCGACGCTTCGGGAGAAACGAAACAAGCGTCCTATTCAAACAAAATGCAATGCGTTTTGTAATAGAAAAAAGAATTTTCGGAAGGATTGTGTGTCGCCCTAGTATTTTCGCGAAGTGCTTCGGATGCAGGATAGAAGGAGGCAAAAATCGAAGCTTGCGTCGGCCGGGAGTCGAACCCGGGTCAACTGCTTGGAAGGCAGCTATGCTAACCGTTATACCACCGACGCTTCGGGAGAAACGAAACAAGCGTCCTATTCAAACAAAATGCAATGCGTTTTGTAATAGAAAAAGAATTTTCGGAAGGATTGTGTGTCGCCCTAGTATTTTCGCGAAGTGCTTCGGATGCAGGATAGAAGGAGGCAAAAATCGAAGCTTGCGTCGGCCGGGAGTCGAACCCGGGTCAACTGCTTGGAAGGCAGCTATGCTAACCGTTATACCACCGACGCTTCGGGAGAAACGAAACAAGCGTCCTATTCAAACAAAATGCAATGCGTTTTGTAATAGAAAAAGAATTTTCGGAAGGATTGTGTGTCGCCCTAGTATTTTCGCGAAGTGCTTCGGATGCAGGATATGAAGGAGGCAAAAATCGAAGCTTGCGTCGGCCGGGAGTCGAACCCGGGTCAACTGCTTGGAAGGCAGCTATGCTAACCGTTATACCACCGACGCTTCGGGAGAAACGAAACAAGCGTCCTATTCAAACAAAATGCAATGCGTTTTGTAATAGAAAAAGAATTTTCGGAAGGATTGAATTGTCGCCCTAGTATTTTCGCGAAGTGCGCTTCGGATGCAGGATAGAAGGAGGCAAAAATCGAAGCTTGCGTCGGCCGGGAGTCGAACCCGGGTCAACTGCTTGGAAGGCAGCTATGCTAACCGTTATACCACCGACGCTTCGGGAGAAACGAAACAAGCGTCCTATTCAAACAAAATGCAATGCGTTTTGTAATAGAAAAAGAATTTTCGGAAGGATTGTGTGTCGCCCTAGTATTTTCGCGAAGTGCTTCGGATGCAGGATAGAAGGAGGCAAAAATCGAAGCTTGCGTCGGCCGGGAGTCGAACCCGGGTCAACTGCTTGGAAGGCAGCTATGCTAACCGTTATACCACCGACGCTTCGGGAGAAACGAAACAAGCGTCCTATTCAAACAAAATGCAATGCGTTTTGTAATAGAAAAAGAATTTTCGGAAGGATTGTGTGTCGCCCTAGTATTTTCGCGAAGTGCTTCGGATGCAGGATAGAAGGAGGCAAAAATCGAAGCTTGCGTCGGCCGGGAGTCGAACCCGGGTCAACTGCTTGGAAGGCAGCTATGCTAACCGTTATACCACCGACGCTTCGGGAGAAACGAAACACGCGTCCTATTCAAACAAAATGCAATGCGTTTTGTAATAGAAAAAGAATTTTCGGAAGGATTGTGTGTCGCCCTAGTATTTTCGCGAAGTGCTTCGGATGCAGGATAGAAGGAGGCAAAATCGAAGCTTGCGTCGGCCGGGAGTCGAACCCGGGTCAACTGCTTGGAAGGCAGCTATGCTAACCGTTATACCACCGACGCTTCGGGAGAAACGAAACCAGCGTCCTATTCAAACAAAATGCAATGCGTTTCGTAATAGAAAAAGAATTTTCGGAAGGATTGTGTGTCGCCCTAGTATTTTCGCGAAGTGCCTCGGATGCAGGATAGAAGGAGGCAAAAATCGATGCTTGCGTCGGCCGGGAGTCGAACCCGGGTCAACTGCTTGGAAGGCAGCTATGCTAACCGTTATACCACCGACGCTTCGGGAGAAACGAAACACGCGTCCTATTCAAACAAAATGCAATGCGTTTTGTAATAGAAAAAGAATTTTCGGAAGGATTGTGTGTCGCCCTAGTATTTTCGCGAAGTGCGTCGGATGCAGGATAGAAGGAGGCAAAAATCGAAGCTTGCGTCGGCCGGGAGTCGAACCCGGGTCAACTGCTTGAAGGCAGCTATGCTAACCGTTATACCACCGACGCTTCGGAAAGAAACGAAACACGCGTCCTATTCAAACAAAATGCAATGCGTTTTGTAATAGAAAAAGAATTTTCGGAAGGATTGTGTGTCGCCCTAATATTTTCGCGAAGTGCTTGGAAGGCAATGCTTAACCGGCGACGTCGGATGCAGGATAGTCGGGAGAAACGAAACAAGGATTCAAATATCGAAGCTTGCAAAAATCGAAGCTTGCGTCGGCCGGGAGTCGAACCCGGGTCAACTGCTTGGAAGGCAGCTATGCTAACCGTTATTCCACCGTCCCTTCGGGAGAAACGAAACACGCGTCCTATTCAAACAAAATGGAATGCGTTTTGTAATAGAAAAAGAATTTTCGGAAGGATTGTGTGTCGCCCTAATATTTTCGCGAAGTGCGTCGGATGCAGGATAGTAGGATTCAAATATCGAAGCTTGCGTCGGCCGGGAGTCGAACCCGGGTCAACTGCTTGGAAGGCAGCTATGCTAACCGTTATACCACCGTCCCTTCGGGAGAAACGAAACACGCGTCCTATTCAAACAAAATGCAATGCGTTTTGTAATAGAAAAAGAATTTTAGGAAGGATTGTGTGTCGCCCTAATATTTTCGCGAAGTGCGTCGGATGCAGGATAGTAGGATTCAAATATCGAAGCTTGCGTCGGCCGGGAGTCGAAACCGGGTCAACTGCTTGGAAGGCAGCTAGCTATGCTAACCGTTATACCACCGACGCTTCGGGAGAAACGAAACACGTGTCCTATTCAAACAAAATGCAATGCGTTTTGTAATAGAAAAAGAATTTTCGGAAGGATTGTGTGTCGCCCTAGTATTTTCGCGAAGTGCCTCGGATGCTGGAGGCAAAAATCGAAGCTTGCGTCGGCCGGGAGTCGAACCCGGGTCAACTGCTTGGAAGGCAGCTATGCTAACCGTTATACCACCGACGCTTCGGGAGAAACGAAACACGCGTCCTATTCAAACAAAATGCAATGCGTTTTGTAATAGAAAAAGAATTTTCGGAAGGATTTTGTGTTGCCCTAGTATTTTCGTGAAGTGCCTCGGATGCAGGATAGGAGGAGGCAAAAATCGAAGCTTGCGTCGGCCGGGAGTCGAACCCGGGTCAACTGCTTGGAAGGCAGCTATGCTAATTGTTATACGACCGACGCTTCGGGAGAAACGAAACACGCGTCCTATTCAAACAAAATGCAATGCGTTTTGTAAGAGAAAAAGAATTTTCGGAAGGAAAATTTCGCGTCGGAAAATTTCTTTCTTTCTTTTTTTTTCTAATGCTATTTTCACGGATTAACGTTCTTCTTTCGACATATCTGAGAAAAGTTAGATCATTTAGGTGATAAAATTTTTTACAAAGTTTTTAGTAAATAAAATGTTTTATTGTGCTTATATTTCTGAAAAGTTTATATTATTTGTGTTATAATAAGCAAATGTTTTTGAATGAAAAATTATCCAGATTTTGAAATTTTTCGTTCCTCGCTAAATGTATTTTAATTTTTAGTTTCGAAATTGCTTAATTTTAACAGAGAAGGTAAAATCTGTAGCTCTTTATTTTGGTATCATATTTATCTTCTAAAATAAATTTTCAACAAATTGATCTCTCTCTCTCTTTAAAATTTATCGCCACTTTTCATTTTCTTAACGTGTTTTTATAGACTGGACAATAGGTTTCAATGAATGTCTCTGTGGCTCCATTTCTATCTTTTTTATATTGGACTCACACGATCGTGAATTTTAAATAATAAATCTCTGGGAATCCAACGCAAAAGTCTCAATACAATACAATTTGAAATGCGACTTATATAATTTTTTGAAATACAAAATATATATTTAAGTTTTTAACTATTCTGAATGTGATGCTCTTTCAAAACTTTCCTCATTTTTATAATGATCAAATTGAGCAACATGATGAAACTAATACGGAAAAAAAAAGGTTACCTCAGGTAGAGAAATGAAGAAGTCATGTAAAGCATCATTAGAAGAGGAGGAGCAGGAAATGGGGAACACTAGGGCCTCTTTTTTTTTATCGCGTGCCTCACCTCCGGAAGGACGTTTCACAGATTAGTCATGCTTCGTGCCATCTCCCTGTTGAACAGAAAGAGGTTCCTGACCCACGTTGATGGAAGCCCTCTTTCCAGGATAGGTGAATTCAAATTCAGTGATTAGGTTTACCATGGTAATTTCTTCCCGTAGCTTTGTTGTGAAAAACATGAAGTAGAGTTACCTCAAGAGAATGACAGATGTGTTCATATAATTTGTCTCGACAGTGTTTGAAGTCAGTTCTTTAATAAAAATGGAATTTTCTTTTCTTATGGCATAATTTGTAATGGTGTGAAAATTATAATTGCGTAGTTGGTTGTGACATTAGAGTAAATTAGTATATACACATATATATATATATATATATATATATATATATATATATATATATATATATATATTGTTTTTATTTTATATATCTTTTTACAAGATATACCCTTTATGCTATCGGCTGCAGGTCATAAGTTTTACCACAGTCAAGTAACGATATTACAGCTGACTGAAAAAAAAAGAAAAAGAAAAAAAACTATATATTACACACACACAAAAGTATTCAATAAATTATTGACAAATTTTAATCTTGAATTAATTATTTTCTAGTCTCCTCATTCTTTAAATAAAAAAAGAGAAAGTTGTATATTAAGAGAGCCATACTTAAAACTCGAATAAACTTCATCAGAAATGCATCAAATTAGGTATTATTTAATACATGACAATATGTAACATGAAATGAGTTACCTTCTAATAATTCTCATGTTTTGATTTTCCAATTAAAGTATAATTCTTTTTCTAAATAAATACTAACTTTCTTCTTTAAAATAAATTGTCACGAAATAATAAATATTTAGAAAATATATTTATTGCACACACACACATGTATTCTAAAAGGGATTTTAAAATGATTCCAATACATTTTTAATTCTTCACTTTCGCTCCTAAGATCTAAGGCAAGGGTGGGCGGACTTTTCCAGTATGTGGGCTACTTCTGAGGTTTTTAAAGTGTTTTTGTCCACCTAGTGGCGTAGGTGTTGCAATTATGTATTAAAATCGCAAGTTTTATTTCTGTATATTTGTTTTTGACATTGTATCCCTCTTTTAATATATGACAGATAACTATTTTTCCTACCACAACATAAGTATAACAAAATTGTCTATTTGAATGCTTGAACAGCTTTGAGCGACTGCAGGACCGTGGAGTGAGGGCGTATTCAATGCAGCGAGAGGATAATGTAAGTGAATCAATGAATCTAAAACCTACATATGCATTTATATTTGCTCGTTGTCAATTCCCGCATCATTGCGGGACATGACATTAACTCGAGGACCCAATCCCGTGGTAGCGTGAGGTGTGAAATGTCTCAATAGCCAGTCCCATGCTGTCGCGGAAAGAGCTAATATAATCAACATTTATTCTCCCCTTCAATCGGCGTGTGGGGAAAAATTTATTTCTATGACTGGCATCGCAGTGTGTTTGTTTTTCCCTTACAGTGGCAGGGAACATGTTAAGCGTTAGTGCTTGCTTCCAATGAAAGTACATGTGTATGTCTACACATTCATTGAATCATTTACTTAAGTAAACACAATCAAATCCATTGTGAAAAGCCGATTCACCAATCTATCTGGCGTCGGAGTTTCATAAATATGCTTCTTTCAGTATGTGCGTCTTAGGTTTTAGTAAAGGCGGTCACCTCAAAATGTCTTGGCAGTCCACCGATCGATCGCGATCGGCTTAATGTCCTTCACTGATCTAAGGTTTATTTACTGCAATTCATTATTCGAAATCATTCTGATTTCAAACAGAATTATTAAAGAAATAGATCTTGAAAGTAAATAAAATATGTACTTTATGGTGTTTTAGATTATCTTCATTATGCATCTCTTTAAAAAAAAAATCATACATTTGCAAAATGCTTGGTTTTAAAATACATTTCTTATTTTAGAAATTATTTGAACTTACCGTATTAGCCATAATATAATGCGACGTCAAAATTTTACACATAAAGGTATTAAAAATGATTATTTATTTTATTATTTATTTAGTTTTATAAAAAAATTTTAAGAAAGTAAAATTCAATCAGATAAGTATTTATTTAATAATAATTAATAACACAGATTATGTTCATGTTAATAAAATCAAGTAAGCAAAGCAAAATTAGTTATATAAAAAGAGTTGTTATATGTGTGTGTGTGTGTGTCCGAATAAATCTTCGAATAAAAATCAGACTCTTCAGAATGCGGAATTTTATATTGGCGAGGAGGGTTGTCTAGGGGTAAGTATTTAAGGGGAGGGATGAATTAATTGAATCAAAGTCATTTAAACACAGATACTTCATTTAAGTAAAAAAGAATTTATTTAAAGTTAAAGGGAAATATTTACAAAAGGGGATATTTACAAAAAGAAAGACATGCAGGAATTAGGTTAATCGAAAGTTGAGTTATACCTTTGGAAGACGGGGAAATAAACTACCTTTATCATTCTTGGACGTTAGGACTGGTGGTACCGCGCAGGGCGCGAAAATGCGCTAAAGACGTGACGTGTTGAACAAGCGGTGGTTAGTAGGCCTCTGCCGAAAAATTATTCAAGCCGGAGCTACGAAAGCTCACTAGACGGCGCTGCTTCGGAATGCAGTAATAAATAAAATTGAGATTAATGGTCCTCTGAAAAGGATATGACTCAACCTTTTAACAAAATGTTTCAAAAGGAAAATCCTACATATATATATATATATATATATATATATATATATATATATATATATATATATATATATATATATATATATATATATATATATATTTCATTACCTTCATCTCAAATTTAGTGCGAATCAGTTTTTTAAAAAGAAATAATTAGTCAAAAAATATCGCGTTATGTTTGGGCTAATATGATAATTTCCAATGTTTAAAACTGTATCGCCTAAATGTAAAAGCATTTGCTTACTATTTTACAAATAATAATAGACAGTACTTAAGACGCTAGCAGAACTTTAAAATCCTAAATATCTCTAGTTCGCATATTCCCAATTAAAAAAAAGTTTATCAGGCCAAACTGTGCCCACTCGAGATAATTCGAGTGGTCACATTTACAATACAATATAAAACAGCACAATGACAAACAATACAATATAAACTTTTACAACTCCAATATAAAATACAATAATCGTATTTTATATTGTAGTTATTTTTCCACTCTAATATAAGCGACCGCTGTCTGCACTCGCGAGACTGATTGCGATCTGCCGAGGAGATTTTGAGTAAATTTAGATAAATGCCATTGTTTCATATATTTTACGATTTCTTATTAGACATCAACATTTGGAACGCACATGTTTTGTACAAAATAAATAAATAATGGAGGTGAAAAAAAATTAGATTTCAGAAGCAAAATAGAAGGAAGACTTTTCCCAAATATAAAAAAGTAAAAAGTGATACACAAATATTAAAAATTTGGTTAGACCAAAATGTTCTAAAATTTTAAGATTAACGGAACATCATTTTCATTTGTGTGTTGTGTATTCATTCATTGTGTTTTGTCCCATTAACCCCCAGTTTTCGCCCCATTAACAACTCCCACAAGATACTGCACTCTGTGTGGCTCTAAAACTGATAGCAAAGAAAAAAGGAAAAGAAAAAAAAAGAGTCGTTATCTATATATATATAATAATTGCAATGCTGGGCTGTGTG